GATCCCAGGTCTGTAACATTCCAAAGCCTACACATATACCCTTTTCAAATACTTTGCTGCCTCCTTACACTTGGGAGACTTGTTTATCAGAAAATTCCTTTTTCCTTCATATTTTAGAAAAAAACGCTACAGAATCAAAATTGAAGCATTTTTTTATATTATAAATACTTGGTATTTTACCAAAAAAAGAAAATCTAAAATTTAAAGTTAAAGAAAGTAAAAACTGCACACTCCCTAACAACCCCCTCTCACAAGTCCATGCTGAAATTAACCATTTCCAGAAATCTTTTGATGTATGTAATTTGTGTTCTCTTAAAAGGATCATATGAAATACAGACTTCCACAAAACTGCTCTTCTCATGTTCAATGAGTTCGTTTTCCACGTAACTGTTTGTAGATCTACTATTTCCTGAGAACTATATCGTATTCCACCAGGTAGACAGATTGTTTTCTTTTTCCATCTAGTTCATTAACTGACTTACCATGTTCATGAAATAACCCAAGTATATACTACTCATGCCCCAACTTTAGTGTTCCTTCCCCATTCGGATTTCTGTTAACATTTAGTTAACAGACTTTCACTGACCCTACATCCATTGTCACTTTCTACCATTTTCTATACATTTATACTTATCACCACTTGATATATTTTATTTTTGTTTTGTTTTGTCTCTCTCCCCCAACTAGAATATATCAACTTTCCCTTCTTTTTAAGAATTTTCTTTGTTGTGTTCATGTTTAACTTTCCAGATAAACATTAAAATCAATCACGTTTCAAAATATGTCCTCTGAAATTTTCAATAGCAGCATATTGATAAATTTAGGATAAACTGCCATCTTTAATTAAAAATGAAGGCTTCCAAGTGAAGAATAAAGTATGCCTCATTAAGAGTTACTCAAATATTCTTTACATTTTTCAGCAGGATGTTATAGTTTTCAATATTCCTGGGATATATATGGTGGTGGTTTTGCTGAAGGCAATTTCTTCTCCACTATGTTTTCTAAGTGGTTATTATTGGTATATATACACATTTTTAAACGTTACTGCTTTTACTATCTATTAACATATAATTTAATATGCATATATAATATAGTATATATTTGTGTAATCCATATGTGCTCAACACACTTGGTTTCATACCTGTCATTTTACCAAATTCTTTATTTTGAGGTCTTTCAGGTGATATCTTTGCATGTTCCATGTATGCAATGTTACCATATACAAAATTCTAACTATCTCTCCCATCTTTCCACTATTTCCACCCCTTATGATGTACTTTTCTAACAATAATAGTTAACAGGTTAGTACTTCTAGAACACCCTTACATAATAATGCCAAAAAATAATCTTTCATTATTTCGATTTCCTAAGAACCTCCTTATGTTCTTCAGATGAACTCTATTTGATTCTGCAATTAAATCCTCACCACCCCCCAAAAAAGTAGCATTTGCTAATATCTCTCTGAGAATTTTTGGATTAGTATCCTATAAAAAAACGTGTCATGCTGCTTTGTCAAGTATTGGTATTTTTGTTATTATGTCTATGTAAAAAGTATCAATAAAGTTTTTTTACTTCCTACATAGTACAGAGTAATGATTAAAACTTTAGATTCCGAGGTAAAACTGTCTAAGTTCAAATCCCAATTTTGCCAGATGCTAGTTTTAAGACTGTAAACAGATTCTTTACCTCTGTAAGCTTCATTTTCTTAACTTTAAGAACACATAAGGTTGTTATGAAACTTAAATGAGATAATTCGGGAGAAATTCTCAGAAAAATGATTGCATTTATAAACTAAATAAATGTTAACTATCATTAATAAAAGCCCTAGCATCCAATACAATCAGGACCAACAGATGGATGGTTAACTGAAAAAAATAGGTTGAAAAGAGAATCATTACCAAAAAAAAAAAAAGATACACAGATGCATAATTTAAACATTTTATTTTAAATGAAAATTTATAAATGTACATTTATTCTCCAATCTTCTGACACAAGACCAAGGCCTTCTCTTTGAACAAAGGAGTCATTGAAATTCTGCATTAACTTTCTTGCACAAACCATACCCACAAATAAAGGATTTTACATTTTACTTTCTTTACATAAAGCCAGAAGTTAACAACACTTTGAAAGCAATCTGAATGCTAAATCTTTCTAGATTTTTATGACTTTTGTTTTACCTTTTACAGTTCCTTGCCCACTCCTAATTAATCTGATAGCAACTCTTTTAGGTGAAAGCCCTGCATCCATGTAGTATTTAATTAAACACAATTATAATAATAGTAATTTGAATAAAAAATTTAGAGACAAACCACCACCTTTTGGTCATCATAACTCTTTATTGGGTGCATGGTCATACTAGAAACTGGTCACTCACTAAGCTGCAAGCACTCAGCCTACCATGTCATCAAACCAGTATTTATTTACAGAGGTAGTGGAGAACATCAGTTAACCCAACAAATCTGTTAATTCAACAAGGGAAGGCTGGAATAAGAAAGTTTGTACTGCATTATTCTTTTGTTCTGAACAGTTTAAACAATAGTACAATGATTAGTTTCTGAAAGATCTGCAAGAATTTACCTACGAAAATGCTGAGACCTGGTTATGTTGAGATATGTTTTAATAACATTATTTTCTCTGAGTTTTCCAATGTGTTCTAGATCAAGTTTGGTCAATCAAGTGGTGTCATAATTTATTTTCATTTTCTTTGCATCTGTGATCAATTCCCATTTTTATAACTTCATTTATTATGTTATTTATACTCTCCTTGAGCTCTGGTCACGTAGTGCCTAAAGCATTTGACTGTTAACCAGAAGAATGGTTCAAACCCACCAGCCACTCCTGAGAAGGACGTTTGGGCAATCTACTTCCATAGTGATACTGCCTCAGAAACCCAAGGAAGGGTTGCTATGAGTTGGATCCAACTCCATGGCAACGGTTGTGTTTTTTCTTGTTCTAAGTTAAATTAATGGCTTAGTTTATATTGTTCCTGTCTGTGAATAAACCCAAAACCAACTCTTAGATTTAGTTCTATCCTGTACTATTGTAGCTCATTAATTAATTGTATGTATATTGTATGGAAGTAATAGTCTATTTTATATAAATAAACACATATTATATTTATATATGCATTGGTATTTGTATATACACACCAAAATATATGCATATACTAGGTAGCATAGGTCTTTATGATTGGAGCCTTTGTAGGACCTATCTCTTAAGGAGCTACTCATGTATATTAGTCATGCTTTTTTTTTTTTTAACCTCGTTTAGTGAATGTTGAATTATTTTAATTATTTTCAATTTTCTTATTTAGGAATGTATTTCCGGTGGATTTTCTCCTAAGCACAGGTTTAGTACATAGCTTTTCACCTGAAATATAGTTTGATTCCTCCATAATCCAAGAATAATTTTTAATATATTTAAACTTTTGAGATAGTTGAGAGACATTATTGTTTCCATTTTTATATTAATTTCCAGTTTTACTCTATTTTTGGTTATACTATATTTTTGTAATACATTCTGTAAGATTTCAGTGTTTTGGAGTTTACTCTCATATTCTTTTTCTACTTACAGCCAACTTTGGTAAATGTCTAATTGGCATTTTAAAAGTATATATTCCTTCTTTTCAAGAATCCAAACTATTCTCTAACCTTATTCCTCTTGTCTATTATACAATAAAGAAGGTAAAATGAAAGTTTCCTAATAGTATGTTTCTTGTGAACTCCTTCTCTACCTCCTTCCTGAAAGTTCTGTGCTGGGACCCCTTCAAGCCAAGTCAGGGATATAACTGGCTCCATGTTTCCATTTTAGGGTTAGGCAACCAGCTACTGTGGAAAATCACTTGTAGTCTCTGGTTTGTATTTCTAATTTTAGCCAAATTATCCCAAGAAGAAGTAGGCTCTACCCTGCATTAACCTATAAATTTCTCATCTTTCTCTGCAATAACCTATAGATCTTCCACATCATCAAAATGGGCAATAGTTAGGTTCTTCTGTATAGATTTTAATTATTTTACCCACACTCCAGCTAACTGTAATAGTCTCCTCAAAAAGGGAAATACCTGTGAATTCTCAGGATCTTCTTGTAGTTTGATTAAAATTGTCTGCCTCTCAGTACTACCTTTCATAGTTTACAAATGAAGTTGGGGGTCCTTCCTTGGTTATAAATTGTTGTTTTATGTTCGTTTTGTCCAGATGGGAAAGTGAAATTCTATAGATTCGTACCTCATACCAACATCTTTCCTAAGGATATTATTAAATATAGGATTAAGAGAAAGGTAACTAATATGTATGAACAGCTCCTTCTGAGAGAGGTCCTATGATAGGCTTTAAATCATAAAGACCTATGGTATGAGTATATGCATGTATTTTGTTGTATATGTAACACATGTTGTTGTTGTTATGTGCCGTTGAGTCGGGCCCAACTCATAGCAACCCTACCTTGGGTTTCCCAAGCAGTATCACTGCGAAAGTAGATTGCCCAACCTTCCCTCCGAGGAGCAGTTGGTGGGTTTGAACCACCAGCCTTGTGGTCAGCAGTCAAGTGCCTTAGGCACTACACTACCAGAGCTCCTTATGTTAACACATACACACATATAAATACGTATATGAATTTGTGTGTGTGTGAGAGAGAGAGAGAGAGAGAGAGAAGAGAGAGCACTTCTTTACAAAATACCAAAACACTGATTCTTCAGTAGTTTCCGCCGCTCTTTATAAAGAAGTAGCTACTATTCATTCTCTCCTTCTCTCATATTTACTCTTTCTTCCCAGTCCTATTTTTTGGGGCCTTAAAACTTTATATTTAATCACAAAAATAAAAGATCTAGGAATTTTAAGATTCTTAATTTTATTGGAACAAGTATCAAAGTGCTTGCATCCTAGTTTCTCCTCCATTTAGCACTCAAGAGAATCACAGTATTTTCCTTCTGAAAAGACAAGCTTGATAGATTTCCTATGGACTATGACCTCTTTCTGCCCCAAATATTAGAATCATGAGCTTACCTTATTAATTCTAGTTGTGCAAGTTCCTGATTTGCTTGAAATATAGGTTTTTTAGTGAAGAGTTCACCAAGAATACATCTAATAGAAAAAATACCAATCATTAACAAATTAGTTGATTTTATTTTACTACCAAAAATTTCAAGTACAATGAACCAACCAATAAGCCTGTCTTACCCACAGCTCCATACATCAATAGCTGGTGTATACCGTTCTTCTCCCAACAGCAGTTCAGGTGGACGGTACCATAAAGTGATGACCTTGTTAGTATATGGTCGACTAAAAAACACAGAAAAACACTCTTTAGAGTTAGTATTTGTTAGGAGAGATTCTCTTACGAAACATTATTTTAGCCTATCAAAGTAATCCTACTAACTAAACCACTCTCATGTACCTACAAATACAGATATGCTATGCCTTCTAATAAGTGGTCATAAAATACATCTAAAAGCAACATGATGAACTTAAAATTTTCCTTAAATACATGAAAATGAATAGTAGTTGGCTAGTTTTAACTATAATTTTATCAAAGAAAGATCTTTATATCAACTCAACTGTTCAATACTATTTTTCCTCTCCATAACAACTTTTGAAGAAACTGACTTAGACCACATCTGCCAAATTATTAGTGGGTGATAAGGATTATTAAGTAGGTATCAACTAACAAAAGTTTTCAAATGGGCCTATCACTGGCAGTATTTTATCCCACTATAGTATGTGAATATCAAGTACAGAAATACACACTGTAGTAGGTGAAGACTATTCTGCAATGAACCATTAGCAACAGTTAAGGTACTTTATCAGATGATTCTTTTGTCATCTTCTAACAATAATGACATACATACTGTTGCTACTTCTTTATTAGCCATAGACATTAAAGGTTATCTATACAGCAGATTATACTAAGGACCAGTTTGACCATTATGGTATACATTCTCCGACAGTGCTTTTAATCCTCAGAGAATGATTATATTCTAGTTGACTCACATGAATGAAGAAGGTCCTAAGAAGTCAGAGATGGCTCTCTGACTGATCCAGGGTTAGGATATGTACTTCCAGGAGATCATATGTCTTTAGATCTATTCTAAACCTCTCTTTCTTTCTTCTAAATCACAAGGATTCTAAGTTCATATCATAAATTCTCGATGAAGGTAGTATTCCAGGCCCATTTACCTGAGGTTGGCTAAGGCCTGGGCTAGTTTTGGGAAGAAGGAAAAGCATCATACGATTTATAAAGCCATTCCCTCTAGGCATTCACACTGCCAACTAGAGATCTGAAGTTCCAGGCAGCATAAGACCTTGGCAATCGGATCTGTTCTGCACCATTCAGTCAAATTTCTCCAAATAGTTCAAGCACTCATACTATAAGCCTTATATAGATAGTACAGTAACAGTGTTCCAAACCTGGAAAAAGGGAGTAACTGGTCTCAGTTTAATTAGTGAAACGGAGAGGATGGTCTATTTTCAATGGCAAACTAGATTTTTTTCCTACCGTTATTTATGTATTTCCTTGGTCATTTCTGTTGTTTCCTGGATCACTTTTAATCATATAATAAAGAAGCTTTTTTAAATTATAGCTCTTCTAATTATGCTGGACTTAATTGTTTTTAAAAAATCTGCTCTATTCTTTATGCCCTAACTCCTTTTATATTTGGAAATTCTTCCCTATTCTTTCTCATTCAAACCCTTTATCTCCTTCAAGACAAAGTGAGCAATCCAATTCCATAAAGTCTAATCTCTATTAACAATATTTATTTTCACATTCTTAAATTCATATCATACTTACCACTGTCTTGAACTCTCCTCTATTTTATGTTTTATATCTTCCCAGAAAGACAAAAGACCCCAGGTCATTCTTTATAATGATCCCCACAGACAAAGCCCAGACCTATACTGGGCACAGGGCTGGCACCTTAATGTGTATGGCCCTGAAACTTTAGGTAACATACATGAATTAGCTGGATGGGAGAACAAAGTTTATGAAGTTTATGATGACTAGCTTTTCTAACACATTTTAGGGTCTATAAACATATGAAACTTATGGTCGTCCTATTAAAGTTCAACTAGATATGTATAGTCTCAAGAAAATGTTTAAATTAATATAAACTACAGGAACTAAAAAAAATTATCTGGAAATCGAAACAAATATATATACATATATATATTTTTAAGTATGTTGAATTATGTGTAGAAATAAATATATTTATATATTGATGTATATGTTGTTGTTGTTGTTGTTATGTGCCATCGAGTCAAACCTGACTCATAGCGACCCCTGCTTGGGTTTCCGAGGCAGTATCACTACGGAAGTAGGATTGCCCAACCTTCCTTCCGAGGAGTGGCTAGTGGGTTTGAACCGCCAGCCATCTGGTTAGCAGTCAAGTGCCTTAGCCACTATGCTACCAGAGCTATATTTTAAAAGTATGTTGAATTATAGGGAGAAACCACACAAATTCAGATTACTAGATTTTAAAAAACCAAATTTACCACCACCGAGTCGGATTTGACTCATAGCAACCCCTCCTTGGGTTTCTGAGGTGGTGTCGCTACGGAAGTAGATTGCCTGATCTTATTTCCAAGCAGTGGTTGGTGGGTTTGAACCTTCAGCCTTCTGGTTAGCAATCAAAGGCCTTAGGCACTATGCCACCAAAATTTTAAAAGCTCCTAAATTTTAAAAGGAATATTTAAATTAAAACAATAATTGCTTTTTTATATACTATGTGTCAAGTTCCAGGCAACATTTAAACACTGTCATATTTATTAGTTAAAACCAGACTATCTTACTTGTTTTTGTTAACGACCATCAAATTCAGAAGTAAAAGTAACTTGTGCATTTTCAAAATGATTAGACACAAAATTAGATGAAGTATGTACATCTAAGTATACAGCAAAAATATTTATTAATACTAATTAATAGCTTTTCCAAATAGTCCCACGTGTTTCTGTCGGAAGAAAAATCAGAACTAGGTAAAGACTGAGAAAAAGCATTCAATTATAAAATTTGACCCAGAAAGTCCAATTTCACAACACTCATATAATCTCAAATTTGTAGAAATTCTTTCATTTGTAAAGTGAATAAACATTAAACATTCACACTGATACAAGCTTTATATAAAACTACTACACTGACATTTAAATTTACATTCAATGAATGTCATCAGAGATCATTCAACCTGTCATTCAAACTCTGTATCTATATATGATAGCTTATAATATTTTGCCCCTGGACAAAAATTCCAAAGACTGAGGAATTCTATAACATGTTATATTAGGGAAATGATTTATGCTATGGCCTTCCCTGTCAAGCAGCACTGGATCCCCAATAAACTAAAAACTGCCACAGAATGTATCCCCAGGCTGGCATGCGGTTCAGTCTCCTAGGCCCCTGAAGTGGGTGATGTAGGTAACTCCAGTTAAAATTTACAAACCAGAGTCGCTGCCTTTGTTAATGATCATTCTAAGAAACAGAAAAAAGAATTTTACCGAAGAAACTAAACTAGCTCTAAAATTATCCATATTTCCAAAAACAAAGGTCTAAATTTATTATTTCTTTTAGACTGTTTTGGAGGAAAAAAAAGTCAACTTATAAATATCTATTAAAAAAAGCTGTTGATTTCCTTTATTTAACAAATCTTTATTGAAGGCTTACTGGAATTAAGGCATTATTGTAAGGGACTACAGATATGTGAAGAAATTTTATTTATAAAATTAAATTCTTAAGTATAATTCTGATTATAAGCACAACAAAATAACATATTCTTTTGATTAGGAGAAAACTCTTAATCCCACTGGCTACTGCACTTAATAACCTTAGTAAATCAAAAGGTTAAAAATATGACAAACCTTCAGTTAACTAAATTCATCATATGCCCAAAATGTCATGTCACCTTCATAATCCACTGCAGAAACACCTACCAAACTATAAAAGAAATCTGGAACCTACTGTTAACACCTACACAACTTCTGAAGCAAAAAAAAAAAAAATCCAGGAGTCATGCTTGATTCCTCTTTCCTTCAGACCTCACATCTAATCAATCAACAATTCACTACAGTTCTATATCCCAAACTAATTCCAAATCCAACCACTTTTCACCTTTTCAACAGCCACAACCCTAGTCCAAGGCACTGTTATCCTGCCACTGTTACTATCACAACAATCACTTAGTTTCTTTGTCTTCACTCTTAACCATCCTGCCCCCGCTTCTCCAAGGTTTGTTTTGTTTGTTTGTTTTTTTAAAAAAAAAGCAAAAAACCAGGTCATGTCACCTAGTTGCTTAATACTTGCTTAAAACTGTCCAATGATTTCCCATTACAACTAAATGAAACTTAAATTCTTTATCTTGGTCTTATCTCCTATCAAACTGACCAACTTTTTAGCACTCAAACAAACCTTCCAAGTCTGTTTCCCAAGGCTTTGCATTTGCTTAGTTTTCTTTTACTTGGAATGTTCTTCTTCCAGGTACTTCTGTTTTCCCTCATCAATCAGGTCTTAGCTCAAATTTACTTCCTCAAAGGAGTCTATCCTAATGCAAATGAGATCAAGGACCTTTTTTTTTAAGCTATTATCTACAATATGTATCAATACCTAGTTTAGTAGCTGGCATATGTTGTCACTGACTCAAAGGAACCCTCCATTGGGTTTCCAAGGCTGTAAATCTTTACGGAAATAGATTGCTCCATCTTCCTCCCATAGAGTAGCTAGTGATATAAATGCAACCTCATGTACAACAGGATCAAAAGATGTGATCCATAGGCTTTTCATTAGCTGATTTTCATTAAAAAAAAGGATCACGAGGCCTTTCTTCCTAGTTTGTTTTAGTCTGGAAGCACCACTGAAACCTGTTCAGCATCACAGCAACATGCAAGTGGTGGGTGGTGGCTGTGTGTGAGGTACTATGGCTGGGAATTAAGCCTGGGTCTCCTGCATGGAAGGCAAGAATTCTACCAATGAACCATGACTGGCACATAATAAGCACTTACTTTAATTTTATAGTAAATACAATCTTTTTTCTCTTACCCTTTCCCTCTTCCTATTTTCATTCCTCTTGTCCTCCTTTTGACATCTACCAAGAAAAATGACTTTTAAATTTTTTCATCATCATACTGCTACAGATAAACAAAAGTAATTTTTCCCAAATGATGCTGTGATGCTGCCATTTGACGATCACCTGTTCTTACTTGTTTGTTCTTACTACACATCCAAATTTACAAGTTGTAAAACTACCTTGATCTCAACACTTTCAAAAGAAAATTCACTACCTTTTGCTGTAAATTTGTTT